AATAAGGCCCAGCATAACAAGGTGAACTCACACTCAGAAGAAGGCTAGTCCGCAATGGCTTCAAAATTCTACGGCCTGGAAGCCTTATTTTCACCTTTCCCACAATCCAAACCAACACGACGCAACACTACCAGTTAGCACACTGCAAAGGACTCTACCAACAGGTGAAAGCCCTGCAGCGAAATCAAGGAGCTGAATGGAAACTAAGAAGGGTTGAATAAGCCTTCTGGCATTTCTTGGTGCTGCTTCAGCAGTTGCTGCACGCCCTCCCTTCCCCCCCTGCCAGCCGCCTCCTGCTGCCCATCACCACCCGGCCAGGAGGAGGGGCCAGGGGGGGTTCTCCCCCTGCCCACCTCCTGCTGCATAACCACCTGAAAAGGCACCTGAGCCAGGACCTGGAGAAGCACCTGGCATCCCATGCATGTACAGGCCTGCTGCCTGCTGCTGTTGAGGAACATCGCTTACAGGAGCGCTCCTTTGACCGCTGTGGATACCGTAGACTGGCAGAGCCCTTTCACTATAGTCACGTTCCAGATCGTCACCTGCGACTGATCCTGTTGCTGAGCTGGCACCAGAGGCCCACTTCCGCGGCTTGCGATTGGCTGCTACTGCCATGTTGGCAAAACAGCAGTGTAACCCAAACCACCAGCACCCTCACTATCATCCTCCTCACTATACCCTAACGGACCTGGCATACCCCCTCCCCCTCCCGCTCCCGCTCTCCCCCCTCCTCCTCCCTTTCTTAACTTGGCAGCTGCTTGAGCCGCTGCCACGGCTGCTGCCTGCTCAGCAGCTGGTTTCGCATCGGAAAAAGGCAAGGGTGGAACCACCATCTGCCCTGAGCCATACCTCCCTGCACGCCCACTCGCAACCCCAACCCCAACCCAACCCCATAGCCCCCTGCCCATGCCCCAGCAACCCCCCTCCATGTGCATGTGAACGAGACGGGGAATGCCGGCCTCTGGAACCAGAATTCCCAGAGGAGTGGGTGGACGAGCTGTACCCTGACAGGCGCCCCTCCTCCTCCTCCCCCTCCTCTATCGCGCCAAACCCCCGAGCAAACCCCCTGGGGGACAGTATCGACCCAGCCTCGGAGCCGCCTATCTGCGACCCCGACCCTGTTTTTCCATGGCGGTTCATCTCGGCCCGCTTGGCCGTTGCGAGGTTGGTGAACATCATCGTGATCCCCACTGAGGATTCATCGGCAGCGGCATCGTCTGAGTCGAACGGGAGGAGCGGCACTGCGTGGTTAGATGCGGTGCCAGTTGCTGCTGCTGCAGCGGCAGCAGCGGCGGCAGTGGCGGCAGCGGCAGCGTCAGCAGTGGTGGTGACAGAAGTCGCGGCGGCGGCAGCAGCAGCAGCAACAGCGGGGGGTTGTGAGGCGGGTAAGGAGAGGGGTCCGGAATCATTCTTGTGAGAGTGGTGCTTCCCTCCCCATTTGAATGCCTGAGCCAGCATTCCCTTTACTCCGTGCCTCTTCTTATTTCCGTCCGTCACTTCAGCACTCCCACCAGCAGCACCCACAGAAACAGCAGCAGCAGCAGCAGCAGCAGCAGCACCACCACCAACAGCAACAGCAGCACCAGCACCAGCACCAGCACCACCAGCACCAGCACCAGCACCAGGACCATACCTATTCTCACCCCCAATCGGCTCGCTCCCCGCACCGCTGCTCCCACAAGCCCCATTAAAACCATCACCAGCACTCAGCACACTACCACCACTGTAACCCAACCCAGCACTATTATACCCCATACTAGCATACCCGCCATTAGACCCCTGAACAGCATCCCCGTCTATACTGGATCGATTCGAGCTAGCAGCCACAGACGCCCTCTCTATAGCTTCTTCCAAAGACTCATTCGGCAACCCAAAAGTGGAGATTAATCCATAATCGTCGTGATTAAGCCCGACGCTCGACGCGTTACTGTTACCGAGGCTGCTGCTCCAGGTGCTGGTAGACGCCATAGAGGCGCCGTAGGGGCGAATGGCGGCACTAGAAGCATTGGTGGCAGTGGTGGCAAGGGAGGCGTTGGAGGGGGGAATGGCTGTGCAGCTTTCGTTGGACGATGGGATGATAGTGCTGCTTCCCTTGGGGCCGGTTCGTTTCGAGGGTGTGAACTCAGCTGGGGGAATCACACGCGGGGGTATGGCATGTTGGGGGATGGCAGCTGTTCCGATGATGACAGGGGCGGCGGGGGGGAGAGGTAGGGGCGCGCTATTAGCAGCCTGCTGCCAGCCCCCGGCTGGGGGGGGAATCACAGCCTGCTGCCACGCCCCAGCAATACCAGCAGTACCAGCAGCACCAGCAGCGCCAGCACTGGCAGCGCCAGCAGCACGCGCGATAGCCTCTTCCAGGCTCTCCTCCGCCTGCCCCATCCCCGCCAGCTCCGCCGCCATCCCCCTCACTGCTTCATCCATACCCCCGGCACTCCTCCCTGCATTACTCCTCCCCTCCCCCTGTGCCCCCCTGGAAGACTGAGAGGCGACTGCTGCTGAAGCACCACCACTGGCACTAGCAGCAGCATGCCGAGAAGCGCTATGTGCAAACCTACCACCATCAGCCCCCCCAGCAGCACGTGCAATGGCGTCTTCCAGGCTCTCCTCCGCCTTCCCCATCCCCGCCCGCTCCTCTCGCATCCCCCTCACTGCCGCATCCATGTCTGCACCACCCCCTCCCGCACCACTTCTCCCTCCCCCTTGCACCCCCGGAGAAGCTTGGGAGGCGCCTGTTGCTTGGGAGGCGCCTGTTGTTGCTGCCGCATGGGATCGACCCGAGGAGGCATAGGAATAGCCCCCCGAGGCGAAGGAATCGCCTCCCGCTGAGGCAGCATCAGCCGCCCCAGCAGCCCGTGCAATGGCATCCTCCAGGCTCTCCTCCGCCTTCCCCATACTCGCCCGCTCCTCTCGCATCCCCCTCACTGCCGCATCCATGTCTGCACCACCCCCTCCCGCACCACTTCTCCCTCCCCTTGCACCCCCGGAGAAGCTTGGGAGGCGCCTGTTGTTGCTGCCGCATGGGATCGACCCGAGGAGGCATAGGAATAGCCCCCCGAGGCGAAGGAATCGCCTCCCGCTGAGGCAGCATCAGCCGCCCCAGCAGCCCGTGCAATGGCATCCTCCAGGCTCTCCTCCGCCTTCCCCATACTCGCCCGCTCCTCCCTCATCGCCCTCACTGCTGCATCCATACTTGGGTCCGAGCCACTCGTCCCTGCTTCATGCGACCTTGCAGCAGCAGCAGTAGCAGCAGCACCACTAGCAGCAGCACCACTAGCAGCAGCACCACGAGAAGCACTGTGTGCAAACCTACTAGCATCAGCCACCCCAGTAGCACGTGCAATGGCATCCTCCAAGCTCTCACCCGCCTTCCCCATACTCGCCCGCTCCTCCTTCATCTCCCTCACTGCTTCGTCCAAAGCCAAATCCCTCCTCCCAGCAGACCTAGCAGACCCAGCCGCACCAGCAGCAGCAGGCGCGGCATACCCTGCTGCACCAGCAGCCGCAGGCACACCATACCCTGCCGAACCAGCAGCCGCACGCACAGCATACCCTGCCGAACCAGCAGCCGCAAGCACACCATACCCTGCTGCAGCAGCAGAAGAAGGCGCACCAGCATCCCCCCATGCTCTCCTCGATCCCCCACCACCACCAGCACCCTCAGCACCCGCCGCGCTGGCAGCCCGGGCTATAGCCTCCTCTAGCGACTCTGTGGGCGCGCTAAGGTGGGAGAATTCCCGGGTGACCCCAGTGCCGAGCGCGCCGTGAGACCCCGTGGCCCCCAGATACCCCAGAGAGTGCAGCGAGCCTAGAGAGCCCGAGTCCATGAACGAATCTCCGTTGTAGAGGTAGTCCTCTGGGAACTCGGGGTTTGGATCGAGCTGAGAGCAGGTTGCGTTTAGCTGGCCGTAGGCTGAGCTGGGTTCGCTGACACTATCAGCAGCAGCAGCAGCAGCAGCACCACCACCACCACCAGTTGCACTGCCAGCAGTAGCACCAGCAGTAGCACCAGCAGCAGCACCAGCAGCAGCACCAGCAGCAGCAGCACGTGCAATGGCGTCTTCCAGGCTCTCCTCCGCTTGTCCAAGGGAAGCGAGCTCCTCCCTCATCCGCCTCACAGTTTCATCCATGTAGGAGTCACTGCCCCCAGCCCCACTGCCCCCAGCCCCACTGCCCCCATCACGGGCAGAGGCAGCACCAGCAGCACTACCAGCACCGGCAGCACTAGCAGCAGCGTTACCAGCAGCACTAGCGCTACCAGCAGCAGCAGCACGAGCAATGGCGACTTCCAGGCTCTCCTCCGCCTTCCCCATCCCCGCCAGCTCCGCCGCCATCCCCCTCACTGCCGCGTCCATACCAGGGTCGCTGCGACCAGCCCCACTGCCCCCAGCCGCACTGCCCCCAACCCCACTGCCCCCAGCCGCACTGCTCCTATCACGGGCAGAGGCAGCGCTGGCAGCACGAGCAATGGCGTCTCCCAGGCTCTCCTCCGCCTGCCCCATCCCCGCCAGCTCCGCCGCCATCCCCCTCACTGCCGCATCCATGCTCGGATCACTCCCCCCAGCCGCACTCCCACCAGCCGCAACCCCACCATCACGAGCAGCAGCAGCACCAGCCGAGGCAGCAGCACCACCCGAGGCAGCAGAGGTAGCGCGGGAAAGAGCTGCTTCCAGGGCGGCGTCGAGGCTCACCTCGCGCTCCCCCGATTGCGCCAGCTCCCTCTCCGCCTGCCGGATCAGCGCCAGCTCCTCCCGCATCCTCCGCACTGCTGCGTCCATCCCAGGGTCGCTCTCGCCAGCCCCTGGAGAATCTCCTGAAGAATCTCCTGGAACGCGCGAGCCTTGCTCGAGCGCATCGATTACTCCCGCCGACGGCGCACAGGAATTGCCCGCGGGTTGCGCATAGGAATTGCCCGCGGACCCCGCGTTAGTGGCCCGCGCTATGGCGTCGTCCAGGCTCTCCTCCGCCTGCCCCATCCCCGCCAGCTCCTCCCGCATCCGCCGCACTGCACCGTCCATAACCTCCTCGCTCTTGCTTGCGCCACGTGAACCGCCAGAGGCGTGAGAGTTCCCCGCAGCCGCATAGGAATTGCCCGCGGACCCCGCGGTAGTAGCCCGCGCAATGGCGTCGTCCAGGCTCTCCTCCGCCTGCCCCATCGACGCGAGCTCGTCCCTCATGCGCCTCACCGCAGAGTTCATAAACGCGTCGCTCTTGCCCGCACTGCCGCCCGCACCACGAGAAACTACCGCCCGTGCCGACGCAGCGCTCGATCCCGCCGCGCTCCCACCCGACCTTACTCCTGTACCCATGCTCATCCGGCCGTCGCTAGCCAGGCTCGGCTCCGAGGCTTCCTCCGAGGCTCGGGCGATGGCGTCTTCCAGAGACTCGGACGGCGTTCCCATGAGCGTGAAATCCAAGGTGTCGCCGCTTAACGAATCCATCTCCGCTATTGAGTTCCCGTCGTAACGGTAGTCCTCGGGAAACTCGGGGTCGGGATCGAGCTGCTGTTGAGCAGAAGTTGAAGGGGAAGCGCGAGAAAAGGACGGAACGATAGCCGCGAAAGGTTTGGCTAGGCGAGACCCTAGAGAGGCTCGTCGCGAGTTTGCGGTCTGGTTGGGTGAAGAGGAGTATTGATATTCGGCCGGTTTGGTGCTAGGACTGCTGCTGCTCGGATTACTGCTGCTAGGTTTACTGGTGCTCGGCTTGCTGCTGCTCGGTTTGCTGCTGCTAAGATTGCTACCAGCGAGGCGCGCTAAAGCGTCTTCTAGCGACTCCGTTGGCGTTCCGAAGAGGCCTTTTACTTCAGCCGCCATGTCTTGGCGTGTCTTGCTGGCCGACGACATTGGAAGCCTAGTGTCATGCGCTCGCCGAGCTCCTGCTGCGCGCCGAGCTCTTGCGCGTTACGATTCGTTTAGGTCAACGCGAATGGGAAATGGGTGATACAGAGAGGATAGGCCGTGCTGTTTGAAGACTTCGAGTTGACTCGACTCGTTTTGGTCGGCAGAAATGGGTGCTACAAGGGGATAGGCCGCGCAGTCGTGCGCGTGAAGGGAAAGTCTACCTCGAAGCATGCTATGGCTTAGCAAGAACGTGCTGAAGGGGAAGGCTCAACTTTGTGCTCTAGCAGCATAGGAGGAACAAAATTGACAAGGCAAGTCGTGGATAGGGACACCTAACGTTGACCGAGCCGACCTTGTTACAGTATGACCTAAACTACTGTACGCTGCCTTGGTGGTGCTGAAAGGGGCGGTGGGGAGGAAAACTGAACAGCAAGGCTCGAACTGCTTTTTCTGGAACCAACTTTCGGCAATCCCAAGGGCAGACTTCCCGAAACCAACCACTGATGACGGGACACAGCACGACAATCCCAATGGCAAGATGCGGGGGGCGGAGGGGGGGGGGGAATGGAGGGAAGAGGGGGGGAGGTTGGGGGAAAAGATGGGGAAGACGCGGGAAGACGGGGGAAAGGAGCAGCTAGGAAGAAGGAAGGGGAGGGGGGGAAGAAGGGGGAAAGAGCGGGGAGATTTGGGGAACGGAAAGGGGTGCTTCGTGGGGAAGGCGGAAACGTTCTCGTTCTCCCCTTCCCTCCCCTTCCCTCCCCTCCCCTCCCCACGGTGAACCAGACCCGGACCGCAGCTGGCTTGGGGGGCCACGTCAATCTCATAGCCGCGGACTTTGTTGGAGGTGGGAGGAAGGTGTCGGTTTTGCATGGCCCGCAAGCAAGGAAAGTCTGCCGCAACAATCGGGGACAAAGGGTGAATGGTGCGCTGTGATTGCTTCAGCTAGGTTCGGACGGAATTGTACCTTCGGTCTGGGCCACCCACCAGTTCAGTTCCCCCAAGCCCGCAACCACTCCCAGCAGAACCTGAAGGGGCTCGCATGTCGCACAACAAGGCGGTTGTTGTGCTGGACAAGCGGAGGAACTGTCGGCAGGCGAGGGGTGGCCGTGTGACAGCAATGCGAGGGGCCTAGGATGCCAGGACGACAATGTGGAAAATCGCACGGGCAGTTTCGATCATTCACGAAGAAATGTGCGCCGGTAAACGATCTCGACCGGATTCGTTTGGCGGAAGCCGTTCATGTCCAAGGAGTACCAGAAGTCAATGGAGTCCAGCTTGGACTACAATTTATAAACCCCTTACAAAAGGGCTTGTGCCCCACAAATCGCTACGCCTCCGCACAAATCTGCATAGAAAGTCACATATCACTCTACAAAGAAGGTCGTCTCAACCTAGCTATGCTATAAATTCTGCTACTTCAATTATTTAGAAAATATAATATAAGCACATGGACATCATGCATTGAAATATATGAATCAGCTAAGGGTCTCGTAGTTTCTTTGTTCGAACATGTTGGGAGTTTTGTAGGGGTAAAAGGCTTAAGAAATCGGCGAAGCTCACATCCGTGCAAAATGTTGAACACGTTGAAGTAAACCGCACAAAATTTACCACACCCAGAGAGTACATTACATGGACCGCAAATCCGGCCAACCTCACGTCCCTATCTGTTGTACACTGCTCAGGGCTGCGCGGCGCGGGCCAGGTGCCTCACGCCTGGAAGTGCGCTCAGACCCGAAACCCTGTAGCGTGCTCCATTCATTTTTTGTCTCTGTATGGGATGTCCGCAGGGTAATTCACCCTGAAAATTGGGTAATTTGAGGAATGGCCCTGATCATGTGTGCCCAGAGGCGTGTCCAGGCCCATAGCTGCACGATACTCCACCTGCAAACACCAAAAACATTTCAAACAGGTCATGATTGCAGTCTGTGCCATCATAGAATACAGCATAATCTGCTGTATTCACAGATGTAACACGCATGAGAAGAAATAACACCACAATGAGTGGTGTGGTGTACCGAGAACCGGTGACTATGACATGCACGCGTAAAAATAACACTGTGACATAGAACTCTAGACTCAAGACCTTATAATTACCTCCACAGGCCTTCCTTTTGCATCTGTAATTTGTGGGTCCATGTATTGAGGCTGCTGCTTTAATAAAGTTTGACGAAGAGAAGGCAAATCAACTGTTGTTGGGGCTCCATCTGAGAGGTGAGGACGTTTATAAGGGGGATGCGAGTGAGTGAGAGCAAGGTTTCGCAACTTCAGGGAAAAAAAACTTCAGGATGCATCTGAGAGTGCCTGATATCAACAGAGGCACCTGAGAAAACACCTGAGACCAGCAGAAGCACCTGACAAAAGAAGCCTCCCGTTGACCCACACTGAATGCACTGTGTTGCCTGCGATGCCTGAGCTGGACAATGGTAAGCCGGAGAGGTAGGGACCGGGGGGGGAGGGGGGTGGGGGGGTGGGGGGGGGAGGGGAGAAGGGGGGGAATGGAAGAGGAAAGAGGAAAGAGGAAAGATGGTGATTTGGTGGAGGCACAGAGAGAGGTGCGCAGCAGGCATCTGCGCAGAGCATCTGCCACATAAGCAGGCCGAATTTCACCCACTTTCCCATTCACCCCTTCAGTAGCACCTTTGCCTCGTGAGCACCAGTTGCCCCACGGGGTCAGCTCGTGGCAGCATGGAGAGAGCCGTCAAGTCAACCAGCACGGCAGCTGCTGCATAGCCGGGCCTGATCACCCCTGCCCGCCCTCCCTATCATCCCCATACACCCACACTGTTTGACTCACCCACACTGCACATTCCCCACTAGCCCATACCTCTGTCTTGTGAGCACCAGCTGACCAAGAGGGTCAGCTCGTGGCAGCATGGATAGTGCCGTCAAGTCAACCAGCACAGCATCCGCCACATAGCCGGGCCTGATCGCCCCTGCCTTTCCTCTCATGCCCAATGCTGCCGCCCCTCCCTCTGTTGCCATCTTCAGCACCTCTCTAGGAGACAACCACCGGCGATACTCGGGGGTTGTGAGCTGATGGCGAAAGAGGGGGAAAGAGGGGGGAAGAGGGGGAAAGAGGGGGTTGTGAGGAGCAATGAGAATGCCACATAGCCGGGTGGGGCCTGATCGCCTGATAGCCGGGTGGGGCCTGATCGCCTGATCGCCTGATAGCCAGGTGTGGCCTGATCGCCCCACCCCCACTGCTGTCGCCCACACCTCAGCCGTGGGGGTGAGAAGAAAGACCGGGTGGGGTCTTTCTTCTCACCCCCACTGCTGTCGCCCACACCTCTGCTGCCAGCTTCAGCATCTCCCTCACAAGCTACACGATTTTCTTGCACGCATCAAGACAAAAAGATACAAAAATAAAACAAATGCTATACCGCATGATATAAATCGATATATCAACTAATATACAATAACAATATAAGGAGTTATAAGCTTACCGGGTTGACAATACATGCCAACTTGACAGCTTCCAGCATGTTCTGTGAGTCGTTGGAGCACTGCCCATCGCACCCAATAGCCACAGCAATGCCTGTCTGCCCCTGTCTGCCCCTGCCTGTCTATGTATGTACACATGGGCACTCACAGGGTTGACAATACATGCCAACTTGACAGCTTCCAGCATGTCCTGTGAGTCGTTGGAGCACTGCCCATCGCACCCAATAGCCACAGAAATGCCCTTATCGAGGTAGTCTCTTATGGGAGCAATGCCAGAGCCGAGCCGGAGGTTTGAGACCGGGTTATGCACGGCTACTGCTCCACACTCCGCCATTATTGCTTGCTCCTCGTCCTCCTGCAGGGGGCATGCCATGGGTAAACCAGCACACATTCGGATGAGGGACCTGCTGGGGAAGTCTCGCATGGGAGCAATGCCAGAGCCCAGCCGGAGGTTGGAGACTGGGTTCTGCAAGGCTACTGCGCAACACTCCGCCGTTATTGCTTGCTCCTCGTCCTCCTGGAAATGGGAGGTGCAAGCACACACATGCGCACACTTGTGATTCCAGAGCGCAGCTGGGGGTTGGAGAGGCCGGGTTATGCACGGCCACTGCTCCACACTCAGCCATCATTGCTTGCTCCTCGCCCTGTGTAATGAGTCGACTCAAAAATCGACTCATTACACCACACTCGTTGCTTGCTCCTCGCCCTCCTGGAAATGGGAGGTGGAGGTGCCCGCACATGTGCGCACACAAGTGATGCGAAAGCCCAGCTGGAGGAGTTGAACACCGGATTATGCGCAGAAACGAGGTGGCTTTTGAGTCAACTCAAAAGTTGCCTCATTATGCGCGGAAACTGCTCCACACTCTGCCCTGACTGCTTGCTCCTCGTATGAATGACTCTCATACATACTTGTACTAAGTAGGACCAAATATTCTCACCAGCCACACGCAGTGTGCGCACGAGGTGCCAGGGAGCGACAACCACCCGATGACTTTAAGAAGCTTCACACAACACACTCGGCAGCAATGTGCACGCCCTCAGTAGCCTAGCGGTGCTGGAATTTCATGCCAGCAGTCTCATGCATCCACTCACCAGCCACACGCAGTGCGCGCACGAGGTGCCAGGGAGCGACAACCACCCAATGTCTTTCAGCAGCTTCACACACCCCCCATCAGGGTAGCGTGACCTGCTCTGAAGCCTGGGCGTGGGAGGGAGAGGGGAGCAAAGAGACGCGGGTGAGGGGCTTTGCACGTCAGTGACAATGCTTAAAAAAAGCCTCCAAAGTTCAGGCTATGCTTCAAGGGTTATGCTTCAAAGGTTATGTTTCAAATATTATGCTTTCAAGGTTATGCTTCAAAGGTTATGTTTCAAAGGTTATACTTCAAAGGTTATCCTTCCAAGGTTATGCTTTCAAGGTTATGCTTCCAAGGTTATGTTTCAAAGTTTATACTTCAAATGTTATGCTTCAAAGGTTATCCTTCCAAGGTTATGCTTCAAAGGTTATGCTTCTAAGGTTATGCTTCCAAGGTTATGCTTCCAAGGTTATGTTTCAAAGGTTATACTTCAAAGGTTATGCTTCAAAGGTGATCCTTCTAAGGTTATGCTTCAAAGTTTAGCCTTCCAAGGTTATGCTTCCAAGGTTATGCTTCAATGCTTAGCTTGTGTGCTATCATGTGTTTTGTTTTTGAGAATTCTAAAAAACAAAGCAGGCATAAGTGGGCTATCAAACCTTACTTAGGGCTTGCTATGTGAGTGACAATGCTAAAAGAAGCTTGCAGACTATGCTTAGCATAGCAGGCACGTGGCGCCTGTCACTCCTTACTTCTGCATGCATGACTCCAGCAGGTGGATGTGGCCGCACAGGGCAAACTCAAGCATCTGCAGACCCGGCTTTAAGTCTATGCATGCATGCAGGCA